CTATGCTAACCTAGGTGGCAGTTAATAACAAGCAGTTTTCCAACAATGCTCTGTTCACCTCTGTTGGGCAGGGCAAATTGTAACGTGCACTGTAAGCACTGCGGGCAGTGTGAGCAGGGGAGGCCAAGATGGTTGGACCTCCACAGCCTTGACCAAAAGCCTGGCAGAACAGCTCTGTTTTTCATGCCCTGCAGAATTTTAATAAGTCCCACAGGGCCATGATTTCAAGTGGGAGCATGTTCCACCAGGAGCGGGGCCAGGGCAGAAAAGGCCCTGGCCCCGGTTGAGGCTAAGCGGATTTCTTTTGGGCCAGGGACTGCCAAGAGATGTTGCTCTGCAAAATGTAAGGCTCTCCGGGACACATACGGGGAGTGGCGGTCCCATAGGTATGATGGTCCCTGGCTGCATATGGCTTTAAAGGTTAATACCATAACCTTGAACTGGATCCGGTACTCAATTGGCAGCCAGTGCTATTGGTCCAACACCAGCTGAATGAATGTGTGTCCACATTCCACATGTTGCACTAGCTGCAGTTTCTGGATCGGGTTCAAGGGCAGCCCCACACAGAGTGAGTTACAGTAGTCCAGCCTGGAGGGGACCATTGCATGGATCACTGTAGCAAAATCCTGGGAGTTGAGATAGGGAACCAGTTGCCTGGCCAGACGAAGATGGTAGAAGGCTGACTTGGCAACAGTAGTGACCTGGCATCCTTGGAAAGTGAGGAAACCAGGATCACCCCTATAGGCTCCTCACCTTTGGTGGTGGCATCAACAGCACCCGCCAAGAGTTGGGAGCCAGATGCCTGCTCTCAGACCCCCACAGTTCCGGCAACAGGACCTCTATCGTCGCTAGAAGTTACATTTTTGGTGACTTGTGTCTGGGGTTCCCTGACAGGGATACCAGGCCTCCTACAGCAGAAGGCCTTCTGGTATCTGGTCTCTGGAGTTGCCACCAATGCTCTCTCTAAGCTGTAGAGTCTTGTGAGCAAAAATTCTACTTTGTGAGCTACTGGCATTCTACCTTGTGAGCTACTGGCATTCTACCTTGTGAGCTGCTAGAATGATAAAAGGGTTGGAACACTTTCCCTATAGAGAAAGGTTAAAGCGCTTGGGGCTCCTTAGCTGGAGAAATGACAACTGAGGGGTGACATGATCGAGGTTTATAAGATTATGCATAGGACAGAGCAGGTAGAGAAAGAAGTACTTTTCTCCCTTTCTCACAATACAAGAACTCGTGGGCACTCAATGAAATTGCTGAGCAGTCGGGTTAGAACAGATAAAAGGAAGTCCTTCTTCACCCAAAGAGTGATTAGCACATGGAATTCACTGCCACAGGAGGTGGTGGCAGCTACAAGCATGGGTGGCTTCAAGAGGGAATTAGATGAGCAGAGGTCCATCAGTGGCTATAGGCCACAAGGTATAGATAGGAACTCTGGATCTGGGGCAAGTGATGCTCTGTATTCTTGGTGCTTGGGGGCGGGGGCAACAGTGGGAGGGCTTCTAGTGTCCTGGCCCCACTGGTGGACCTCCTAATGGCACCTGGTATTTTTGGTCACTGTGTGACAGAGTGTTGGACTAGATGGGCCACTGGCCTGATCCAACTTTGGCTTCACTTATGTTCTTAAGTTGTGAGCAAGTGATTTAGTTACTGCATAAATTAGCTTGTTCTGGAGCCATCCTTCTTGAGCTAGGACAAAAATCTGTGAGCCGGAGGCTAAAAAACTGTGAGAAAATGGCTGCTTTGAAGGGTAGACATTATAGCATTATACCCTGCTGAGGACCCTCCCCTCCCCAAACTCCTCCCTCCCCAGGATCCACTCCCAAAACCCCCAGGTATCACTGGCATCTCAGGTGCTGGTGGGAGAAACTGGGGAGGGGGGACACATTGCCAGCACACTTGCATCACTTCTGGTAAAAACCAGAAGTGACATGTTAGATGTTCTAGCATTTTGCAAAAACTCTATGGTAAAATTGGAATTGGTGTAAGAGCAGCCACACTATGCCTGGTGCATTACGCCATCCTTCTCCCCCCCCCCCCCTTTTCTCTACCCCCCCCCCCCCATTTCCTTCCAGGGTTTGCCAGCTGCTTCCTCGGTACCCTATCCCCAACTCAAGTTGCGTCCCCTGCGGTCACACAACAGCTCCGGGGTGTGTGTCATTTTAAAGGTCAAAGGGAGCACTTTTCAACTCGGAACTGTGGCTTAGGAGGA